ACACTTCCAAATACCATGAGGCTATTAAAAAAAAACACTGATGTCAAATTGAGATGTATTTAACTGACATGGGAAATACCAAGAATATGGTACTTCTGCATGGAGAAAAAAGAAAACATAACTATGTGGGTCATTTTAGCTCTCCCCTTTTATTGTTCAGTCATTTTCAATCCTACCCAATTGTTTGTGACCCCACTTGGGGTTTTCTTGGCAAAGAAACTGGAGTGGTTTTGCCATTTCCTCTTCCAGCTCATTTTATAAATGAGGAAACTGAGGCAAACAGGGTTAAGTGACTTGCCCAGGGTCACATAGCTAGTAAGTGTCTGAGGCCAGATTTGAACTCAGGAAGATGAATCTTCCTGGCTCCAGGACTGGTATTCTATCCACTGAGCCACCTAGCTACCTTAGTTCTCCCCTGCTAGTATTCAGTTTCCTTACTGTAAAACAGAGTCATTTGAATTTACTACCAGGCATATCAGATAAAGAACAGGAAATAGCTATAGATAGACCACCTCTTGACTCTGTTTCTCTTCTTAGTGATTTTGCTCCCCCCAAAAAAATTCACACTACACAGAAGTGAAATTCTTGCATGCTGTTATTGTGGGTCCCAGGGACTGTTCCCTATCAAGGTCCTCTGCCCCTTCTCCAAGGTCATTTGCTCTGTCATAAAGTGCTTTTTTCCTGCATTTGTCTTTGTCACTGCCTATTCACCACTGTCATGATATCACATGTTCTGAAATGCCCATTTTGCTGGAGCTATTTCTGGCTGCTCATCTTTCAGCCATGGCCCCATCCTATTACAGCTGACTCACCCTACTCAAACATAGGTGCCAGCTCCCAGAAGACTTGTTTACCGGATTATCTTTTTTCTCTTGTCCAGCTCATACATTTAATTCTGGAATCTGGTAGTCCCAGTTCTTGTCCTAGTAAGCAAACTGAATATCATCTAATCTCTTTTTGATGATTCTACTGATGACCTCAACTTCTGAACATCGATTTTTATTGTATAGTATTACATTGTAGGTATAGGCAATTGGACATATGTACTACGTAGGTGCCTGATGTCACATTGTTTTTATCAGATGTAGTGTGCAATATGTAGGGAGGTAGGCTGTGAGTCAGGAAAACCTATGTTTGAATCCTAACCTGAGATGCTTGCTAACTGTGGAACATTGACAAAGTCTCTGAGCTGCCTCAGAAATTTCAGCTGCCTCGTCTACAAAATGCCTCTGGTATTTATGAGACTCAGATATGTAAAGAACTTTGCAAACCTTACCGAGATATGTAAATATTATTTATTATTATTAAATTATTGTTAAATTTAAATATTGTTAAAATAATATTATCAAATATTATTAGTTATTATTTCTTCTCATTTGTAATTTGTCTTTGTTCAGACCTGTAAGAGCATTGGACCTGAAGGTAGTGGACTTTAGTTTGAATCCCAGGCTTGCTACTTGCTATCTGCGTGACCTTAGGCAAGTCATTTGTCATCTTTAGACCTCAATTTTCTCATCACTAAAAAGAGGGAGATGGACTAAATGACCCCTGGGATCCTTTTCAGTTCTAGACCTCCAACCATATTTTCATAATTGTGGGGAACTCATTCTTAAGGAAACTTCCTTCATTGATGCAGATTGACCATTCATCTGTGTTTTAGATTCTAAGAAAGTTACCAAAGGACACTAAGAGGTAAATGACATGTTTCATGGATATTCACAGCTTGCAAGAGTCAGACACAGTATTTGAACTGTAGTCTAACTGATTCCAAGGCCAGTCTTTTATCCGTTGCCCTATCTAGTCTCCATATGATTTTCATAATATTCAGAAAAGTGATGAAGAATTCCAAATGGAAAAGTGGAAGGATGTGAGTGCTCCCATTAAGGGAATATTTTCTTTATTTAACAAAAATAATGACAGTCAACAAACACTCATTAAGTGCTTGCTATGTGCCAAGCATTGTGCTAAGCAAATACAAATACAAGCAAAAAGAAAGGAGCTTACAATGGTGGGGGACAACATGTAAATGGAAGCGGAAAAGAGGGGATGGATGGAGCAGGTAATGAAGGAGAAGTATGGAGTACAGCTTGATGAAAACTGAAGAGATGGTTGGCCTAAGTGTCCTCCTTAAATGAAGGTTCTGGGAGGAGCCATCCCAAGAGAGGGGCTGCAGAGGTGGAGTATACTTCAGGCATGTGAATTCCAGGGCAGTAGTGATCTTCCACGATAAAGAGGTTTCCAGCAACAGGTGAAGAAGTCCAGGGTGTGGCCTGATACAGTGAATCCCATGTCTAGATTGGTGAATCTCATTTCCAGACAACCATTTACCTATGATCAGGAAGGAACAAATACAAAAGAGATGTAGGAAACAGATGTGCCATGCATTTACAGATAAATAGTAGTTGGGTGGGAAGATAAGGCAGCTCCCCCTTCCCTCCATCCACTCATGGCTCTCAGCTTCCTTCTCACATAGACACTGGGGAAGTGATTTCATCCAGTCAAACCTTTCACGTGCACAGTCAGGTCCAGTGTAGCCTCTACTGAGTCATTAATCCTTCCAAGTCTTTAGCCAGCCAGAAGAACCTTCATCAGTATCCTACTAACTCCAAGTCATCATAATTGAAACTAGCATGAATTTCTGTGTTTGTTTTGATAGCATGAGGAGAATGTTGCATATATTCCATATGACCCACCAGGGAGGGTAAATAAAATCATGGTCCAAAGACTAGGCCCCATCATCCAGTCTCCCCCATTCTGTATTGATTTGCTTGTTTTCACATCATTGTTACTTTGCAATGATCCTCCAACTCTGACATTTATCCCCCCCTTTATAATAAATAAGTACAGGCAAGCAAAACAAATTAACACATTGGCCGTGTCTGTAAATGTATGACCCATTCTGCATCTGCGGTAAGCCACCTCTCTGCTGAGAGATGGGAGGCATGCTTCACCATCTATCTCCTAAAGTCACTCTCTGCCTTATTTCCTGAAAGACACAAACAGCTGGTTACAGCTGGTCCAAAGGTATCCAGCCAGAGTGGGCACAGCCAGGCTTGGGGGAGATCCGGGATGTTCTGAGGATATGAGTTAAGCCCGGACATCTGGTAGCCACCCCCAAGGTCTTGACTAATATAGCATGAGACATATATTCTTTTTAAATAGATACATAAAATAATAGATAAGAATAGCCTAACATAAATGATGTTAGAATGTGATTAAATGTTCAAAACAGGTCAAATGGAGTATCCTGAGGGACAAACAATCACACTTCACTAGACAGATCAGAAAAGACCTCATGGTGGAAGAGAGGAAGAGAACATCAGAGCTGAGACTATATAGAGGTTAAGAAGGCTTAAACCAAAGTGGGGAGTCAGGGCAGGGGGAGGATGTGGTATGATGGTGATGGAGAATCTGGTTGAACTATAGGACTAGTCTTGGAACTGTTACTTTCCTAAGAAAATACAGCTTGGAAATAGTATAGCTGGAACTCAAACTCCATTCTGCTGATTCTAAATCCCTTATTCTCAGGGTGCTACCCATGTTTGGAGAATGGTTTTTGTTTGGTTTTCTGTTTGTTTGTTTTTAGGATACCATCACGTATCTTGTATAGTGACTAGGATGTTGGATTTGGAGTCAGGAAGACTGAGGTTTAAATCCTGCCTTTTAATCCATACTTGCTACTTGACCACTGGCAATTCAATTGAATGCTGAGTCTCAGTTTCCTCGCTTGTAAAATGGGAATAATAATACCTCTATTACCTACCTCTTGGGATCAAATAAGATAACATTTATAAAACATTTTGCAAACATAAGAACAATAAAGAAATGTCCATTGTTATTGTTATTTTTCTAGGTGTGAATAACTGAATGATTGTGGGGTTGGGGGGGGGCACTGGGGAAGAAAGACCAAGAGATTGAATTTAGGACAGACATCTAAAAAGCCACCTAACTTTACTGCTATGTGAAATGTCTCTAATGCAGATGGAATAGAGCACATTGAATCCCAGCTCTGATACTTGCTAGCTTTGTAGCTCTGAACGAATCATTTAATAACAATAGCTAGCATTTATGTATAGCTTTAAAGTTTACAAAGTACTTTAAAAATATGATCTCATTTTGTCCTCATGTCAACCCTAGAAGGTTAGTACTGTTAATATTCTGATTTTACAGATAAGGAAACTCAGGCAAGTGGAGACTAAGGGACTAATCCAGAGTCACACAGTCAGTAAGAGTTTGAGGCAAGATTTGCACTCAGACTTTACTGACTTCAGATTTGGAATTCTATTCAATGTGCCACCTATATTCCTCTCTGAACTTCACTTTCTTCACTTGGAAAATAGGAAAATAGTATGAAAACTATCTGCCATATAGGACCATTTTGAGGAAAGCACTTTGTAAATTTTTAAATGAACTATTTAAACATGAGCTATACAAGACTCATTAGAAAAGACCCTGATGTTGGGAAAGATTGAAGGCAAAAGGAAAAGGGGATGGTGGAGGATGAAACGGATAGATAGTAAAATGGAAGCAATTGGACATGAAGACAAACTTCAAGATAGAGTGGATGATAGACCATTGGTATGATAGCTGGTATGCTGTGGTTCATGGGGTCGCTAAGAATCAGACATGACTAAACTACTGAATAACAATAACAAATATAGATATTATATGCAGAGTATTATCACAAATACATCTGCCATCCCATGCAGTCCAGCAGGGCAGATGGAGGGCTAGCCACACACTCAGGAAGACCTGGATTTATCTGCAAAACTCTCACACTTAGTGATTGTGTGACTCTACATGTCACCCACCTCTTAGTGCCCAAGGCAATTCGCTAAGTCAATAAATTGCTGAACAAGTAGATCTGCAATGGTGGGATATACTCCCAAGGAATTCCCTATAGTGTAGAAATCACAGGTTTGGGGTCCTAAAACAGATTACTAAACTTAGTCTTCCCCCTAAAATATACACTTTCTAAATCCACCTTTTTTTTTTTACAGTTCCTACAAACACTATGAGAGTGACTATGTATATGTCACCTATGATTTCCACATCTCCATCTCCATTGAACGGTAATGTCTTTATTATTATTATTATTATTATTATTAAATTACATTTTATTTTCATAACTGCATTCTTTCCATCCCACCCCCAAGTGGTAAGGTAAAAAAAAAACTCCTACTACAAACATGTATAGTCAAGCAAAACAAACTCCTACCATTAGCCATGTCCAAATTTATATGCATAAATAGACAGATAGATGCAAGTATGTGTAAGTATATATGTATGTATGCATGTACACATACACATATGACTGTACTTTCAGTTCATCACTAAAGAACAATTTATATAATAATAGCAATATTATAAAGGTATACAACTTTAAAAGGCTTAAGAACTCTGATCAACACAATGACCAACTACAATTTCAGAGAATTCAAGATGAAACATGCTATTCAGCTCCTTGAAAGACTCTCTATTTCGTTGAATATCCATATAATCACCTCAAGGATTATACTCAGTTTTGCTGGATAGGTGATTCTTGGTTGTAATCCTAGATTTTTTTTTTGCCCTCCAGAATCTCTTATTCCAAGCTCTTCAATCCTTTAATATAGAAAGTGCTAAATTTTGTGTTATCCTGACTGTGGTTCCATGATATTTCAATCATTTCCTTTTAGCTGCTTACAATGTTTTCACCTTAAACTGGGAGCTCTGGAATTTGGCTTTAATATTCCTGGTAGTTTTCATTTTGGGATCTCTTTCAGGAGGTGATGGGTAGATTATTTTTATTTCTTTTTTACCTTCTTATTCTAGAATATCAGGGCAGTTTTCCTTGATAATTTTCTAAAAGATGATGTTTTGTTTTGTTTTGTTTTTTTACCATGGCTTTGATGTAGTCTGGTAATTCTAAAATTATGTCTCCTGGATCTATTTTCCAGATCAGTTGTTTTTCCAGTGAGATATTTCACAGTCTTCTTTTTTTCATTCTTTTGATTTTGTTTTATTGTTTCTTGATGTCTCATGAAGTCATTAGCTTCCAGTTGTACAATTCTAATTTTTAAGGAATTATTTTTGCATATTTTATTAATTTATTTTGATTTATCAAGAATCACTTCCATATGCTTTTGAGTTTAAAATTTTTCTCCCCTTCCTCCCCACCTCCCTCCCCAAAACCGTGCACGATCTGATATATGCTATACATTTACATTCCTATTAAACATAGCAATTCAACTTTCACAGTTATGACTACAGTCTGTGTCTTTTTCTCCATTCTTTTTTCCCCATTTATGCTTTTCTTTCTCCTCTCTCCCTTTCCCCTCATCAGTACTTTGTTTTTAACCACTGCCTCCTTCAGTCTCTCCTCCCTTCTATTTTCCTCCTCCCCCTCTTCTTCTTCACCCCCACTGCTTCTTCCCTCCCTTTCATCACCCCTCCCTTTTCTTTCCCCTTTTCCCTCCTACTGTCCATAGGGCAAGTTAGATTTCCATACCTAACTGATTATGTTATTCCCTTCTTGAGCCAAATCTCAAGAGAGCAAGGTTCAAACAATGCCCACCCCCCTCCCTTCTTTCCTTCTGCTGTAATAGGATTTTCTGTCTTTTCCTGTAATGTAATTTACCCTTGTCTGCCTCCTCCTTTCTCAGTACATTTTCTAAGATCAAACTAATCCACTTACTTGGATCCATTTAACTCACTTGATTAGATTTTTTTTTCATCATTACATCAAAGTCAACTAATATCCACCCCCTCTATGTATACTCCTTTAACATGGTATAATAACAGTACAATTCTCAAGTTGCAAGTATTATCTTCCCTTGTAGGGATGTAAACAGTCCCTCTTATTAACAACATTTTGTTTCTTTCTGTCCTATCACCTTTTTATGTCTTTCTTGAATCTTGGACTTGAAGATCAAATTTTTTGTTGAGCTCTGGTCTTTTTATGAGGAAGGTTTGGAAGTCCCCTATTTTGTTGAATATCCATCTCCTCCCTTGAAAAATCATGCTTATTTTTGCAGGGTAGTTGATCCTTGGCTGAAATCCAAGCTCCTTTGCCTTTTGGAATATCATGTTCCATGCCCTGCGGTCTTTTAATGTAGAAGCTGCAAGGTCCTGTGTAACCTTGACTGTGGTTCCATGATATTTAAATAGTTTCTTTCTGGCTGTTTGCAGCACCTTCTCTTTCATCTTGTAATTTTGGAATTTTGCTATTATATTCCTTGGTGTTGTCAGTTTGGGATCTCTTTGAGGTGGTGACTTGTATTCGTCCTATGGTTATTACCTCCTGGTTCTAGGGACCTCAGGGCAGTTTTCCTTTATGATTTCCTGAAAGATACTGTCCAGACTCTTTTTTTCATCATGATTTTCAGGTAGTCCAATGATTTTTAAATTGTCTCTCCTAGATCAATTTTCTAGGTCGTTTGTTTTACCGATGAGGTATTTTAAGTTTTCATCCATTTGTTTTTTCATTTTTTTCTTTCTGTTTGACTGATTCTTGCTCTCTCATAGGGTCATTAGTTTCCATTTGTCCAATTCTACTTTTTAACAGATTGTTTTCTTCTATTAGTTTTTGTACTTCCTTCTTCAATGGGCCAATTGCATTTTTAAGGGATTTGTCTTCTTCAGTGTACTTTTTTTCCGTTTGGCCAATTGTGTTTTTTAGGGACTTGTTTTCTTCAGTGTACTTTTTTTCTAATTGGCCAATTGTATTTTTTAAGGACTCTTCTACCTCTCTCATTAGACTTTTAAAATCCTTCTTGAGCTCTTCCAATGAGGCTTTTTGGGCTTCAGACCAGTTCATGTGCCCTTTTGATGTTGCAGATGTGGGTTTGTTGACAATGCTGTCCTCTTCAGAATTTCTGTCTTGATCTCCAGAATTTCTGTCTTGATCTCCACTCTTCTCATAATATGAATCTATGGTACATTTCTTTTTACTCATGGTTTCATTATTCCCTGGCCTTTAAAGAGATTGAGCTCTCCTGCTGGGGAACAGAGGGCACTGGCCCAAGATTCTTGTGTTGGGAGCTTAGGTCTTGGTCACTGGTTTTGTGTGCTGGGGACTCTTATGTTGGCAATTGGAGGCTGTAGGGTTCTGGCAGCTTACCTTGTGTTGGGCTGGAATCAGCAAAGCTGGAACTTTCAAACAATTCTAGATTGCCTGCTTTTCCTTTCCCTTAGCTTTCTTCAGCTCCTTTTAGATGTTTATCTGTCTGGGGCCCCTTGCAGTGCTGCCTCCCTCATTTCTGCTAATGCGCTAGGAGATTCCTTTGCAGTAGTGTGCTGAGGCACCTGGTGGTTTTCTGAGCTGGTTTCCACCAGTTCCCCACCCTCACTGAGGCACCCAGAGGTCCAGGTGTTGTTGTTTGCTTGCTCTACCACCTGGGCTTCAGGATCTCTTCCTGGTTGACAGTTGGAGGTTCTGACAGCTTACCTGGGGTTGGGCTGGAATCCGCAAGGCTCGGATTTTAGGAAGACTTTAGGTTGCTTTCTTCAGCTCTTTTCAGATGAATTCTGTAGGGTACTTATCCTCCTGGGGACTTTTGTAGTGCTACTTCCCTTATTTTTGCTGAGGCACTGCAAGACCTGTTTGCTGGGCTGGTGCACTGCTGCTCCCTGTCTTTCTTCTAGTTCAGGTGTTCCAGGGTTTTTTTCTGGGGTGATGTTTTCTGGGTTTTCAGAGGCTGATAGGGGAGAGTGAGAGCCACTACCTTTTTACTCCACCATCTTGGCTCCCAGAAGTGGAAGTCCAAGGAATTATTTTCTTCAATGACTTTTGTACCTCCTTTTCCAGTTGGCCAATTCTACTTTTTAAGGAGTTCTTTTCTTCAGTGGATCTTTGTACCTCTAGTTGGCCAATTCTTCAAGACATTTTTGTCTTCATTGGATTTTTATGCCTCTTTTACCATTTATCCTATTCTATTTTTTCAGGTGTTATTTTCGTCAGTATTTTTTGTGCCTCCTTTACCAAGCTGTTGACTCTTTTTTCATGATTTTCTTACATCACTCTCACTTCTCTTCCCAATTTTTCCTCTACTTTTCTTACTTGATTTTTAAATTCCTTTTTGAGATCTTCCATAGCCTGAGACCAATTCATATTTTTCTTTGAAGCTTTGGAAGGAGCAGTTTTGACTTTGTCTTCTTCTGAGTTTGTGTTTTGATCTTCCCTATCACCTTAGTGACTTTCTATAGTCAGGATCTTTTTTTTTTTGATGTTTGTTCATTTTTCCAGCACATTATATATATATATATATATATATATATATATATATTATATATATATTATATATATATATATATATATATATTACTTTTAACTCTTTTACTAAAGTGGGGCTCTGCTTCTGGAGTAGAAGTGGCACTGTGCCAAGCTTCAGGTTTTTGCGCACCTGTTTTCAAAGATAATTCTGAGGACCTGTAAGTTTTCAGTTCTTCCAAGGTGGTATGATCTAAGGAAAGGTATATTTATTACTGCCATGGCCTGTGCCCTGGTCTGTGAGTGACCCCAGTCACTCTTTTCTTCCTTGGAACTGTCAGCAGGTTACCTCTTCCCCTGTTGCTCTGGTGTGCTAGTACTCCTCCTTACCATGAGACTGAGACCCAGGATTGCACCCAGAGTATGAATGAAACAGAGTCTTGCCCCCAGTGCCAGTGACAAGATCCCTGTAATTTTGTTCTGACCAGTTGTCTGATCTCCGTGTCCTCTGTGGACTGAGAGGTCTGAAATAGCCACTGCTGACACTGATTTTGTCATCCCCCAAGGCCTACTATTGGTTTGCTGGGGCACAGCCTATGCTGGACTGCTCTCCACTCTCACCCCAGTTTCAATAGTCTTTTCATGCCAATCTTCCAAGGTATCTTGGGCTAGAAAACTGTTTCACTCCATCCTTTTTTTGGTTTCTGCTGATCCAGAATTTGTTTTGAAGAATTATTTAAAGTTGTTTGGATGAGTTTAGGGGAGAATTCAGGTGAGTTCCTGCCTTTTCTCTGGCATATTCACCCCACCTCCCTCATTTAGCTCCTGATAGAAAGATGATGGACTTCAAATGATAATGTAATGCAAATCATATTCATTTAAATGCTCCCATTAAGAGCCTTGTTCCCTTAAAAGATTCTTGTTGTGATTAGTTCATTTCTATCCCCAATTATTTTTTCATCTGTGAAAGATTAACAAAATGAGGAAAGGGAATGGATGGGAGGAAGGAAGGAAAGAAGGAAGGAAGGAAGGAAGGAAGGAAGGAAGGAAGGAAGGAAGGAAGGAAGGAAGAAACAACACTCCAGCAGTACCAACTACCATAATGTTCCTTTTGAGTCTGAAAATGAAAACCAGTGGCTAACAAGGGTTGTTAACTGAGAAAAATCAGTGAATCATTAAAACTCTCCCTCACAACCAAGGGGGAAAAACGTCTTGAAGTTCTTGTTCTACTGATTGTGTCTCTGTAGCTGTGGGTCACTGACATTATCATCATATAAGAAGGACAGCACTCTCTCAAAAGAGACCACTTTTGGGAAACCCTTCACTGTCATATAAACTTGATCTTAAACTGGCATAATTGTTCAAGGCATAATTGAACCCCTGTAAAAATTTCCCTCTTCTAGCAAAAAGTGAGACTGTTCAAACTCCAGTGAATACTCCAGGAAAACTGAACCCCTCAGTGACAACAGAATTAGTGACAATATCACCAGTAATATCATTGTCATCAAGCTCAATGTCCTTCACAAACACTGGTAAGTGACAAGTACCTGATATGAAACCAAATACAGAGAGCTAAAAGAAAGGTATTAGGTTATACTAAGAAATTATGTTAAAGATTGGTAAGTGGGAGTGTAAATGTGGGTATTTTCTGAATTTTGAGGCTACTTTCACCTGAGAATGATGAGCTATAGTCTTGATTTTATGCATGAACTTAGATCAGAGGTTTTCATTATCTGAAGTTCTTCATTGAATTCTTGATTGCAGAGTAATCCATTTCTGGATGCAACACTCCCTAAATCTACCTTTAAAGAAAACTTTTATCAGTCGGCAGACAATGAATGAGAGGGAGACATAGTGGATAGAGAAATGAGTTCAGAGACTGAAAGCAACAGTTTCAAATCCCACCCTGGCACAGGACCCTAAGTTGCCAATTTACTTGGTGGAGGGAGTTATCACTGGGAGTTCCCTACAGCAATGAAGTCATATATTTGAAATATGCTCTGCCTCTACTTTAAAAACTGCTGTGTCTTGCACTATAAAGAATCCTTTGCTTCTTCCAAGACAGCTCAAAATTCACCTCTTTATGAAGCCTTTCTTTAATCCTTCCAGATTCTAGGGGCTTCACCCCCAAAATAATCTTGTATGTTGCATATGCCTATGCATGCACAGGTTGTCTTCCCTGGCTAGACTATAAACTCCTGGAAGGCAGGAACTGATTAACAATTGTCTTTTTATCCCCCAGTGCCTGGCACATAGAAGGTGCTTAATAAAATCTTGTTGACATAGTGACTGATTGATAAAGCTGGTCATTAAAAATTCCTGCCAGGGTTCTAAAGTCCCACACTACTGCACTCTGGACAATATAATGAACCTACCCCAATGGAAAGGTGGGTTGCCCTTCAGAGATATTAGATTATAAAATAAAATTATGTTTATAAGAATGTCATCAGTAGCTGATGGTTTGCTGCTCTATCTGTTGTAGAGTAACAACAAGCATTGATAGTGAAAGGAAAACATCCTAAAAATTAGAACTGTGCCAAAATAAGATGGGCGGCCTCAGAAGTCATTTACAGTTGTTTTTTGTTTGTTGGTTGGTTGGTTGGTTGGCTGGGTTGGGGTTTTTTTTGCGGGGGGTTGAGTCTACTAGTGCCAGGTACTTTGCAACCTTCTGTCAGAGACTAGATAGCCAGTTGTAAGTATATTATAGAGATATTCCTAATCAGATACAGGTTGAACTAGTTGACCTCTGAGGTTGCTTATAACCAAGACTGTGCTGGTAAGTTTTTAGCAACTAGTTCTTCAGGGAGGAAAAATGTATGCATGATACATTTTTAAGTTTACTCTCCACATTTTCTCCGTGACTTTCTTCAGTCTAGGCAATCAACAAAACAATAAATCAAACTCTGATTTGTGGCATTTGCAATGTCTGAGGTTTAAATGTTCCCACTGAAAATTTAACAATCAGCTCCCCCAAGTTGATTCCAATTGTATCCAACAGAGCCCTGCTCCCTACTCTAAGTTTTTCTCACACTAGTTGTATGTTTTCTGAGATTATACGTGCAGTGGGAGTCTGGAACATGCACAGAGGGTCTCAGATGGTGTCTCTGTCTAAGATGTGAGGGAGCTTGTTTCTGGGAGAGTTGTGATGATGTCTAAGGGAAATGACTTGGAGAGATGGTGGAGTATATAGAGATGTTCTGAGTGATTCTGGTCTTCTAACCATGTGGTGAATAGGAGGGTTTAACACTGCCACTTTTGCCAGTCTCTTGAAAGAGCATTAAACACTACATTAATTTTCTATCACTTTGGCATAAACTTGAAAGATTAGAATCATACTTTTCTCTCTGTCATTCATCTTGATCTATGATTTTCCTAATCACCTCCATCCAAAAAAAAAAAAACCCAAGTAGCAAAAATGGATAGAGCGCTGGATGTAAGTAAGGATGAATAAGTAAGGATGGAGTAAGGGTGACTTGAATTCAAATCTAACTTCAGATAGCCTCAGTTTCTTCATTTATAAAATAGGAATAATAATAGCACCTATACCCAAGGTTGTTGGGGGGATAAAATGAGATGATAGTTATGAAGTCCTTTGTAAATCTTAAAGCAATATATAAATGTAAGCTATTATTATTATTACTTGAGGGTCTGAGAAGGATCTTAGATCATAGATCACATAAAAACCTATATATAATATCAATTTGTTCCAACATCGTGCATGTTGTCTTCAAGTAATCTCCCCTTCCTTCTCCTCGAACCATGAATTTAGGTTCCAATTTAGTAGAAAAAGGTCCTGATAGATTCGATTTGGGGTTGGATTCAGATTAGAGAACTTTTGAGACATTTATCATTCATTTCCAGTCAAGATGGAAGCCTGAACAGGAAGTAGTCCACATCATCCTGACAGACCTACTCCAACAAACCCTGATATTCATACTAACATGAATGAAAGAAATCCAATAAGAAGTACAGTAAGTGACACATCCCACCCTAGAATTACACACAAAAAAAAGTTAGTGAGAATGTCACAGGGAATAAGAAAAGGATCCCTTAAAATGACCTTGATTAGAGACAGGGTGTATGGAACCAGAAAGATTCTGTATGTAGGGGAAGATCAAAAGATTCTCTTGACAAAGCTCTAGAGTAGTCAGTAAACCCTAGGCTGTGGACCTTGAAACTCTAAATTCCATCTTCTCCCACCTTTGACCATTTTCATGGTCTGTACTCCCATGTCTGAAATTCAGTTTCCTCACCTCCACCTCTTCCTTGGATTCCTTCAAGGTTCAGCTTAGGAATGAACCAATCAATCAATCAATATTTATTAAGTGTCTACTATGTTCCAGGCACTGTGTACATTATGGGGATACAGAAAGTGGCAAAAGTCAGGCCCTGCCCTCAAGAAGTGAGGAAGTGAACATTAAAACAAAGCAAGCTATATACAGGATAAATAGGAAATAAATAACAAACAGACGGCATTGGTATTAAGACAGGTTGGGGAGGTTTCCTATAGAAGGTGGAATTTTAAAGGAAGGCAAGGAAGTCAGTAGTCAGAGTGAAGAAGGAAGAGCATTTCAGGCATGTGGGACAGTCAAGAAGGCCCAGAGAGCATGAGTAGGCAACTGCTAGTGACCAGCACAGTAACAATGAAGATGGAGCTTCATTGTTCCTGTCATAACTGTCCAGGTCTACGAGCACTGTGGTCTTTAACACTGTGTCCTGGGATGAGAGAGAGAAAGAGAAGTGGGGGGAGGGAGAAAGAGGGAGAGAAAGTCCTAAAGATCTAGCACTGTGAACCTCAAAGATTTTGAGGTGGGAGTACAAACCTCAGGAAGTAGAAATCAACACAAGAATCCAAGGTTCCAAGAGCAAGACTAAGTAAGACTGAATGTACCACCCCAAAGTGCAGGGGGACAGAAATTAGTCATGACAAAAAGTCCCATTCTGGAACTAAAGTAAAGGAGATAAGTGAATACAAGAAAACATGAACCAATCTCAGAAATTAAATATTTTAGTTGAACTCCATAACAGGCTTGGATAGAGACTCAAAAGAAAAACATGCATTTTTCATGAGAACTACATGAATATTGAGAAGAAATGATGCAAGAGATTAAAAAGTGGAATAAAAGCTCTGAAGAAGGAATTTGAATTTGAATAAGTAGCTTAGAAGAGAAAGTGTTAAACCTTACCTAAGAAATGGCACTTCCTGAAAATTCAAATAGAACAAACAGAAATCAACAATCTCATGAAAGAGAAATAAATATTAAAACAAATTCAAAAGATGGAAAAATAAAAGAAAATACAAAATATCATATCGAAACAACTGACCCTGAAGTCAGGTCAAGGAGAAATAATTTAAGAATCACTGCACTCTCTGAAAATCATGATAACATAAAAAAGCCTGGACATTATATTTAAAGAAATCATAAATTGAAACAACTTATATCAATTAAAACAAGAGGGTAAAGTAAGGATAAAAAAAAATCTAACAATCACCTTTTTAGTGGAATCTCAAAGTGAGACGTCCCAGGAATGTTATAGCCAAAATTCAGAGCTCTTCATCAAAGAGAATTATTGCCAACTTTTACAACAGAGTTCAGGCACTAAGGAGCTACGGAATCACACAAAACCTGGCATCTGCTGCTTAACGCTAGATGAGATCATAGAATACAATAATCTGAAAGATAAGAGGTAAAGGTGTACAACCAGGAATAATTTACCATGTAAAGCTCAGTAAAATCTCACAGGATGAAAAAAGAAAAACCCTTCAATGGAAAAGGGGATTTTCTAGCATTTCTGATGAAAAGACCAGAGCTGAACAGGAACACTGAAATACAAACACAAGATTCAAAGAAACCTAGAAGATCTGAGCAATTGGAAGAGGCAAGAAGCTGTGCTAACATTCTAATAAGAGGAGAAGAAATAAGAGTTCCTGCAGATCAAGCCTACACAACCTGGGGCCCAGGGGCCACAAGCAGCCTGAGGACATGCCAAAGCATTTCAGGCAGCCCACAAAGGGTGTTTTCTTCTATATTTTTTCATGGGTCACTTGAAATCCTTCTGCAGGTTGCACAGGCCTGCTTCAGATCCTAAATGTCTTCAAAGGATAATGAGGAAATTAAATAAGAAAAGGAAAAAAAAGGTCCTGACTAGATTGGTACTGTTCTAAGAATTCAAAAATGGAAAAGAGATAGGAAGGCAAAAGGAGAAAACACTAGTATAGAACAGAAGAAGGCTATTGAGATACATGAAAAGAAGAATACATAAACATATAGGAAAGCATGAGAGGAGTGGACTTCAGATGAACTTCACTCTTAACTGAGGTTGACAAAGAATGATTGAAAACACACAAATGGATGGGTGTGGAAATACATAAGACTAAGTAGAAGTTGAAATGGAGACTCATGGTTTCATATCAAGCGCTCTTTTTGTGTTCTGCTGTGGGTATGGAAATGCTCCTCTCTTTTTTTTTTTTTTGGTGTTTACATCCAGAATAAGGGAAGGGAGGAGAAGAAAACTTTATTAATCATCTGCT